GATGCGGGAAGAGACTGGACAAAAATCGTGCACCTATGGATGAGGACGGGGGCGGGGTGGGAACTGGGTGGAGGGGAGCTATGGGGGAAAAAAGAGGAACAACTGTAATAATCTGAACAATAAAGATTTAATAAAAAAAATCCTCTGTTTAATTCATTGAGCGGCAGATGTAAGATTTGCTCACTTGTTGGTATGTCAGATATACCTTCATTAGAAATAGCTGGTTATAAAAAGATACAAGATAGGAATGAAATGCCTATCAGCATAAACAGTGAGTCCTGGACCAAGGGTAAAAGAAAAAAGTCTTAGAAATTAGACTTTTCAGAGCCATGACATGACCCCAACCTTCCTTTTCCTGTTACTGGAGGAGATTAAGTAACTTCTGCTGACCTTAATTTCCTATTTAAACTAGTAAAAAACAAACAAACAAACAAAAAACTAAAAACTTAAATGCTCATTTACTAACTTGTTAGAAATAATTGGAACAAAAAAGACATTTATGTTAAAACATTCTATTTACAATAAATGTTTTCAAGGATTTGTGAAACTTCAGGCACTATAGGATTGGGTCAGAATTTGGAAATACATTAGAAATCTATCCTATAAATATGCGTCCATGGCTCCACCTTTTTACGGGGTCCCATGACTCCACAGCAGCATTCAAATTTCAGGGCTAATGATTATGATAATTGTGTCACTCATATCTGATGTCTATACCTCCTTAGTAGAAAGTTGGTAACTACTTCCATTTTTTCCCCTCAAGTGTTTAAACACTAATCAAGAGGAATTTTGGCCAAATACAATCATTTTTCTAAGTAAGATAACCTGAAATGTCTTTACTTTAAGATAAACTTACCTCAAGCTGAACCCTCTGTTCTAAATTCTTGTACGATCTCTGTAGTAACTCCCGGGTTCCAAGGACTCCATACCACATCAAGTTTTTAGTTCGGCTCCTGAAAATAAATGTTGGCAGGCAATTTCAGTAACTACTATTTATTTAGTCTTTAAAGGCAGAGCAAGCAAAAGAGATAATAAATGAAATCAAAGTAAAATTGCCTTCATGTAATAACATTATTACTATTACCAAAATTACCTGCATTTTTCAGGGTGCTCCTCTCTCTTATTATTAAATTCTAATGAAATTTTTGCATCTAATCCAATCCCAAAGTAATTGTTCATGACACATTTTTCTGAATATCCATCTCTATGATAATAAGGAAGAGTACATAAAAGTCAATTTCAGTTCATAACAATTACAATTTATACACAGCACTTAACACCATTAAAGCTTCCATTCCTGAGAGTAAAGTTGAGCAGAAATCACTTCCTATTCACATGAACTATGCACGACTCCAGTATATGTGTGTAAATGCTGGTAACACATAAAGGGATGGTGGGCAAGACAAAATGAAGAAAGAGTCATGGCAATGCTTTTCTACTGTCTCACAAAAATCTCAGTTCTCTCTCCTACATGAGGCCCCACTACACACACAAATGGAAGGGCTTGCAAGACTCCTCTTTTTTCATCATTAGAAAGACTCCTCCACTCCTACTCTTATCAATGGATAAATACTTAATAAGCAAAACCCTACCAGATCTATTCCATTCTTCCAGGTACTTTGGAAAGTACAAAGTTTAAAATATGGTCTTGTTGTTGAGGGTTGTCATTAGAGAAATGAGATACAGTCAGGCAAAATTAAACATGGAAGTAAAAGGAAGATACATTGAACTGCCAAAAAAATTTAGGAGTTTAAGAAGGGAAGAGATCAATGTGGGCCAAAAGCTTCCTGAAATAACTAAACCCAGAAGCTGGAAGTGGAAGATGTCAGATTTGGCAAGACCAAGAAGAAAGGAGGTGAAAGGAATAGCATGAATATGGATATGAAAGAGTCAGTGAATGAAATGTTCCAGAGAAAAGCGAGTATAGAGTGGAGTCTCACTTCGCCATAGGCTTATTGTCTAAGGCAGTGGTTCTCAACCTTCCTAATACAGTTCCTCATGTTGTGGTGACCCCCAATTTCATTGTTACAAATTGAACATAATTAAAGCATAGTGATTAATCACAAAAACAATATGTAATTATATATGTGTTTTCTGATGGTCTTAGGCGACCCCTGTGAAAGGGTCGTTCGACCCCCAAAGGGGTTGCGACCCACAGGTTGAGAACCGCTGGTCTAAGGCAACAGCTGGAAGGGACCCACCTCAGGAACAGGTCATGAAAACCACTGTATTGCACAAGGGCCAATGTGCTCATCATTATCAACTGCTGACATTTTCTGATGATTCTTTTTTGTACGTGGAACCGTATTTATTATAATACATCTTAAATGTTACCATTAGTATCAAACAGTGACAAGAAAAGCCAAAACAAAATCTATGGAAGTATTTGCTTACACTGAATCTGGATCTGGGTCAATAAACGGCGTTGCACCGAAAGGATCAATATTTGCTAGTAACATTTTGTTGATAATAGAACTCCCAGCAATTGAGGCAGCTAGTCCTGCTCTTAAACCTGGACAGGGAAAAATAAGCATATATAGGATCACATGTTAAGGAAAATCCAGTCCATATTTTTAGGACTAATTTCAAAGCATGGTTTTCAGTGCCTGCTCTTCTCATTAATAAAAATTAAGAATTATGACATTGGTAGGTACAAGGCTTTTGATGCTTCTTAGAGTCTATATGTTGCTATAAAAAAAAGAGAAACAGATGAGTACCTACATCGGAGTCTCTTGGTAACCGTTTCTCATTTACCATCCCAATGATTCTGTAACTTCAACAAATATTACTTCCTTTGTTATAACAAATGAAGTATAGAAGTTTACAATAAAGGCTGAATTACTCAAAATGTCATGGAGTTACCATTTCCATATTCACAAAGCATAGATAATATTCAACTTAAAATGTTAACATATATACTAAGGTGAAAAATCATGTTGGTGTCAATAATAAGTAGTAAAATGTTAAGTGTAGGTATTAATAAATTTTAAAATATAGTATTGAACATAAAAAATGAAGCATTTTTCTTACTTCTAAATATGCAAACTTCAAATTTATTTATTGGCCATTTATATAACTTTTTGGGAAAATGACTACCCAGATCCTTTGCCCATTTTTAAATTGGGATATTTGTCTTTTTATTGTTGAATTTTTAGTTCTTTATATATTCTGGATACTAGCAACTTATCAGATATGCTATTTGCAAATATCTTCTCCCATCCTGTGGACTGTCATCTCAGTAGTTTCTTGATGGTGTCCTTTGAATCACAAATATCCCTAATTTTGATGAAGTCCAATTTATAGTTTCATGTGTTGCTTGTGCTTTCTAAGAAACCAATGCCTATTCCAAGGTTACAAACATTTACGTCTATACTGTCTTTTTGTGGTTTTATAGGTTTAGCTCTTACATTTTTATGTATGGTGTGAAAGAAGGGTCTAACTTAGTTCTTATGTATATCTAGTTGCTCCAGTAGCAGTGGTTGAAAAAACTATTCTTTCCCTATTGAATAACTGTCTTAGCACATTTGTTGAAAACCAATTAACCATAAATATTAGAGTTCTGGATTCTCAGTTCTATCCCATTGGCCTATATGACTATGATGCCAGTTCCATGTGGTCTTGAACACTGTAGCTTTGTATTAAGTTTTGAAATCAGGCAGTATGTCCTTCAACTTTCTTTTTCCATTACAATGTTGTTTTTTAACTCTTCTGGGTCCTTTGTATTTCCATGTGAAATTTAAGATCAGCTTGTCAATTTCTGCACAACGAGCAGTTGGGATTTTGGTAAGGATTGTGTGAAATCTGTAGTCAATTTGAGATGAGTTGCCATCTTAATAATATTATGTCTTCCAATCCATGAACACAGATGTATTTACATTTAATTATATCTTCTTTAACTGCTTTCAGCAATGTTTTGTAGTTTTCAGTATTCAAATCTTTCACCTTTAGTTAAATTTATTCTTATTTTTTGTTATTTTTTATGCTATTGTAAATAAAATTATTTTAATTTCATGTTAAGACTGTTCATTACTAGAGAAATGCAATTACTTTTTGTATACTGATCTTTTATCCTGCAACCTTGTATTCATTTATTATCTCTAATAGTGTGTGTATGTGTACTCTTTAGGATTTTCTATATGTAACATAAGTCCTAAAGACATACAGTACTTCCTCCTTTCTAATTTGGATGTCTTTAATACTTTTTATTTTTTCTAATTTCCTAAGCTAAAACCTCCTATACAATGTTGACTAGAATGGAAAGAGTAGACATCCTCCTCATGTTCCTGATCTTAGAGAGAAAGCTTTCACCTTTCACCATTAAGTATGATGTCAGCTGTAGGTTTTTCATAGATGCCCTTTATCAGGTTGAAGAAGTTCCTTTCTATTCCTGGTTGTGTTTTTACCTTCAAATGATGTTGACCTTTTAAAAATGCTTTTTCTGTATCTACTGAGATGACTATGTGTTTTTGTCCTTTATTAATATGGTATGTCACGTTGATTTTCATTATGTTGAACCAACGTTGCATCACTGAGAGAATACTGGTAATGGTGTATAATTGCTTTGAGTTGTTGGATTATTCAATTAGCTAGTATTTGGTTGAAGATTTTTGTGTTGCTATTCATGAATGATATTGATCTGTAGTTTTCTTGTGATGTCTTTGGTTTTATATCAGGGTAATACTGGATTCAAAGAATGGTGGAAAGTGTTTTTTCCTCTTCTAGTATTTGAAAGTGTGTGTGAAGGATTGGTTATTTCTTCTTCTTCTTCTTTTAATTGATCTCAGAGAGGAAGGGAGAGGAAGAGAGAGAACATTAATGATGAAAGAGAATCATTGATTGGCTGCCTCCTGCACACCCCCTACTGGGGATCGAGCCCGCAACCCAGGCATGTGCCCTGATGGGTACTTAGTAAATGCAGATTACTGGGTTCTACTCTAGAATTACTCAAACAAAATTTCTCAGGGCAGAGACCATAAACATGTATTTTAGTACTTTCTAGGCAATTCTTATACACACAAAAGTTAAAGGATCTGGATTCTGGTTGATAAATGTACCAAGCACGTTCTCCTGAAGGGACGTTTATCTTTAAGAACACATTTTAGCCCTGCTCAGTGTTTCTCAGTGGTTAGAATGTTGGCCCAAGGACCGAAGGGTCACAGGTTCAATTTCCAATCAAGGGCATGCACATGGGTTGTAGGTTCGATCCCTGCCCCAGTGAGGGCATGTGTGGGAAGCAACCAATCCATGTGTCTCTCTCACATCAATATTTACCTCCCTCTCCCTCCCTTCTCCTCTCTCTAAAAAAGCAATGAGGAAAAAAATCCTCGGGTGAGGATTAAAAAACAAGCAAAAAAAGCCCGGCTAGCCTGGCTGAGTGGTTGAATACCGACCTATGAACCAGGAGGTCACAGTTCCATTCCTGGTCAGGGCACATGCCTAGGTTGTGGGCTCGATCAATCAATGATTCTCTCATCATTGATGTTTCTATCTCTCTCTCCCTCTCCCTTCCTCTCTGAAATCAATAAAAATACATATTAATAAAAAACACACATTTTAAAAGTTCATAGAAATGAGTAGCTATACATTTTTACAAAAATACTTAAAAAAGATACCATGTTTCAGAATATGTACTACCTGGGCAGATGATCCTGGTGTTGAGCACGGGGAGGTTTTCTTTGCTGGCTGCCACAGTTGGGCCAGGGCCAGAGTCGGTCTGGGAACGACTTGCCCGGCCATCTGGAGACCGAGGTGCACTTTTAACTGTTGGCAAAAGGTCCAGATTAAAAAGAAGAAATGATAAAGTTATAGAAATGAGCAAGCCCCTATAAATTCATGACATAAAATAATTTAATACATATTTAAATCAATCCATAGAACTGAAAATGAAAATATTACACTGTGCTTACCTATTTTACCATTTTCATTTTCTTGAGATTTACTATATGGAGAAACTTGATCTTGATCTCTCATTTTAAATAGGTGGAGATCATTAGAAAAAAGATGCCTACCATAATTAAAGGTCAGTAATATTCATAATTTGAATGTGATCATCCCATATGTAAAAATAAAAAAATTCTGAAACCTGATAATTTTTAAAAATAAAACATATGGGTTATGTATGTTATCAGTGCAACCCTTTTTTCATATATCTTGGATGAATGGTCAAGTTTAATTAATGTATTTCCCAGAGCTAATATGTTAACCATGAGTTAAAATTTTCTTCTATAAATGAAAGAGAAAATAGGTTCTTTTTTCAAATGAAAGCAATATACTTTTCCTGTGCTTCTCAATTAGTTATTTATTTAAAACAAAGATTTGCCCCAAACAGTCCCATTATGTTTTGTAAAAGCTCAATACATTTTAAAAATTGTTCCAAAAGAGAATTACTCTCAAAATTAACGACAAAAATAGAAATTTAATTAAACCTAAACTGGAGAATTTTAATGGAGAGCACATATATCTTTAACTAATTTAGGAGTTATTGGCAGGTGTTTAAAGAAACAGTAATCCTCTAACTCAATTTAAAAATACTCAAACTTAATTACCTTTAGACTTCCTAAGACTAATTACAAACTAATTATATTAATCTTACACTCTCTTCTCTGTTCAAAAACAGTCCAGTTACACTAAAGAAAAGTAACTGAACAGACACGCTCTTTTTTTGACAGATGGAAGCTCTGGAGCTAATTTCTAATAAAAACAACCTTTTGATATTCAACTCTGATAAAAAGCAGAGAGCATCCTGGTGGCTAAGATTGATGTTCCATTGCAGGTAAATAAATTAATGTTTCACAGTTCTTAAATGTCTCATTAATCATATTAATATACTGTATTTTGCACATCTCAGACATAGGAATCATTACACAAAATAATGATAATGCAATGAGTGTGCTTCAAAAAATAATGATTATTTAATGCAGAAACACTTTTATTGCTGATTCTGAATAAATTGGATTACTCGCCAACAAATAAGATAAAATACTGCATCGTTAAAGATGCATATAATCTGTCTACTTCAATATCAATATCTATAGCTCCGTATCTGTATTTCTTAGTTTCCTTTGCCAATTACAATGTAAGTGTGAAGTTCATGTGTGCTGGAATATGCATACAGGAAGTCTGAAAAGGCTAAGGTTGTGGAATATGCCAGACATGTAAGGTCTATAAGGTCTCATTTTGAAGCCTCTTATAGAGTTTTAAATACAATTAAGGAATAGTCTTTCAAAGTGAATGTAATTAGTAGCAGTGGCAGTAATAGCAGTAATAATAATGACAATGACAATAAACACTCATATAAACAGCACTATATATGAGTCACTATTCTAGACACTTTGTGTATTAACTTATCCTTTGCAACAAGTAGGTTGTTATGAAGCAGGTATATTATTTTTCCCATTTACAGATGAGAAAGCCACAGAATAGTAATCTGCTCAAGTTCATATGTAATGAAAGTAAAAATGTAATGATTGCAAACAGCTCTAATATAAGTGTTGACTTTACAATAGTACTATGGAAATATTTTCATATTATCTTCTCAATATTTTAATTTCTTTGTTTTAGTCTAGTATATTAATTTTTCCCTTATACAATATAAGTATAAATCCATCCTCAATCCAAACTTAAAAGGTAGAGGAATCGTAAATATTCTTTAAGCAACTACATATTAATTTATTGGCAAAATTAATTTCAGTAGTGAAAGGGTTGTAACTAGATATCTTAATATTAAGCTTAATTTAGTAACAATTATTAACCATCTATTTGCTGATCAATGGAACTCAAGGAATTGATGAATTATTTAAATGCCAAATTTTATGAATGTGGGGCCTACAATTTTTATATAATTCTCAAAGGGATGTGTGGGTTCAAACAGGTTAAAATCTGGTGGTTTAGGTGTTTTGCTTCTTCTCTCTTTTTTAAGGAAAACTGAGATATTTAAGCATGTTTGGTCCTACAATCCTTAGTTTACTATAATAATCTCTACATTATATGATAAAAAGTGAGAGAATTTAGTCTAAATAATGTTACCTTTATTATTTTAGTATTCATGAATGGCTAAGCTGTAAATTTTGAAAAGCCTTGTTGAAAACAAAATACAAATAGTTTATTTCAAACTGACAATCCTTTTGAAAACTAAAAGCACAATTATGTTTTATTTAATTGCAAAATAATTTTCTTAGTTTTCTTACCAATTAATGACTCTTTTGCATCATCATCTTTAGATTCTTCTTTAGATTCATCTGTTTCTGTACTATCATAATCGAATGATTGATTAACTGGCTCACAGGGGTGAACTGTCTGCTCATCCATAACTTTAAGTAATATGAAGATAAACATGTTGAAACAAGAAAAAATAAAATCAATATATGCTTAGGGAAGGAAAATTGAAACATAAACCAAAAGAAATTCCATAGTCACAAATAAACACTAATTGACAATAAACCTGGAAATAATGTCTATAAATGCTAGAGATTATAAAAGTAAATTGTCAAAATTACATTTTTATTAGAACAAAAAAGTAAAACGTAAGAAATTTAGAGAATGAAATACAAGTCCAATTGCAAGTTGCAACCTGTAAAGAATTTTGGATACTTATTATCTACATTAAAATTTACTTTTAGTCTACTATAGAAGTTCTAAGATTATACATATTATATTAACACTAGAGGCCCAGTGCACGAAATTCGTGCACTGGTAGGGTCCCTAGGCCTGGCCGGCAATCAGGGCTAATTGGGGCCTTCTGGCTGCCTTCCTTCCGGTTGCCGGCCGGAGCCTCCCTTCCCCAGCTGCCGGCCAGGACCTTCCTTCGTTCCACACCGGCCCCTTGTGGTCAGCGCATGTCATAGCGAGTGACAGAACTAGTCTCCTGGTCGAACTCCCAAGGGGACACTTTGCATATTAGCCTTTTATATATATATATAGATAAAAATTAAAGTATAGGCAAAATTTTTATAAACTCTTAAAAAAGCAACCTAAACATTTAGGAAAAAAATATTAGGAAAATATTTTTAAAGTAGTATACAGGTTTGATTTTTGTTTAGAATTCAAAGATTCCAATTAAGTAAAAAATATTTTAAATCTTAGAATATTATTTAAAGCAATTTTTAATTTTATTTCTATGATTCCAGTATACTTTGTTTCTGAGGTTTTATTTTTTTAAGTAGCATTACTATGTTGATCCCTACTACTGAAACAATAACTAGAACTATTTACTAGTATAAATTTTGCTTTAATTATTTTATCTTTTACCTTGTCTTAAAAAAAATTTTTTTTTATGTGTGTCCAGTGTGACCAATATGAACATTTTATTGTGCTTGCAAGGAGAATGTTGCTAACGTCTTCAAAAGCCCATTTTGTTAATATGTGTACCTTTTCCGGCTTCTTCAATGACTTGCCTCACTGCTTTCTTTAAACTATTTGCCCGCAACATTATTTCCTTTGGTTTCACTGCTTTCTGGGAGGAAGGTTTTGTAGTGTCATCCAAGAGCTGTTCCTTGCTTTCACACAAGGACTCTTCACTCGAAGATTCCACTGTGTCTTCTTCTACAAGGACAGGGCTGATGCCTGGGAGAACAGGAGCAGCCTGGGAGTCTGTACGCAAAGCCTGGAGCAGTTGTTCAAGCTTCTCATTGAGGACCGAACACTAAGAAAAGAAGGAAAAGAATGCCCTAATGAATCTCCATTTACAAGAGATAGAAAATGATAATTTAAATGAATGGTTTCTGATTTTAAAGGAAACATGCGGGATATTGATTTTACCATTAGTTGCTATTATACAGTATACTTTAGACAGCCAATGGATTAAATAATTTATAATTTTAAAAAACAGCACACCTCTTATTTAAATTTATTTATTTATACTTTCAGAATGATTTAGACGCCACTTCATGGGTGAAAATCTTTACAATCTTTGTATAGCTATTTTTCCTCCAAAAAAACAAACAAAAAACCCCACTTTACTATAAGATGACACATTACACAAAAATTTAAACATTATACAAAATTTTCCATACAGTACACAAACTATCATATTAACACTTTAACTTCTGCTGAGTCTTGATAAGCTCACCTTCAAAGCTTTGGTTTGCAAAGGAGTGAATGGTGCCTGAGGAATTATTGGCTCAAAGAAAGAGCAAAAAGGAAAATGCACAGGCACTGGCCCTTGTTTCTTTCTACTTTCCTTGAATTACTAAGGGTAATTGCGGACTGAATTTCCAGTGATTTCCTTCTCCGTTTATTTGTCCTTGATAACAGGCAAGACAAAGTTACAGCAGAAAGAGTTAAAAGAAAAGTGTCGGTCGAGAGGGTTTCTTTTTCTGAAGCTCTCCACAGGGTAGAAACACAAGAGAAAGAGACTGGAAACTTCAACTGTATGTTTATTTCTATTTTCTTTTCCTTCCTCTCAAATAAACCCCCATCTACAACATGAATCTAGGGGAGATCATTTCTTTGCAAGCCCAAGAGCACCAAGCCTTTTTTAAAAATGCCCTGTCATGAATGCATGAAAGCAGACAGTAGCTTTTAGGGTTCAGTAAACGACTCTTAGTTTAGCCTCAGAAAGCTTTCAAAGGGGGAAAAAAATCTATAAAGATAAAGGCAAGAAACGGAACCCTGGAAGATATAGAGGCCTGTAAAGTCTAGGGAGTCTGAGAAACTGCGCTGGGAGGCACCAGAGTCTGCCTGGAAACGGAAAGCCATTCCTCTCTCCACGGAACCTCGGCCACCGAGCACTGGCCCTGTGACCTGACTACTGTGCTTTTCTCCTTCGCCATGCCAGTCAGCGGGAACAGGGAGGTGCGTTATAAAATTCAGTTTGTCAGATGGTCTCCAGCAATGTAGTTTTCCTACATCTTAAGGAGTAACCGTAAAATAGAATGTTTTAAACAGTTATATCTGATTCAAAAGAAACTTTCTTGTGATTTATGTTATGGCAAGAAAACCACTTAATCAACTTAGCTGTAAAACAAGTTCAATGTTAACATTGTCAGTAAAAACCTTTCATGCCCTGATCGTGTCCTTACTTTGTTGGCCACGGCATCGGCTACAACAGCATTTTCCAACGTTTTGTCATATGCCTTCTCTACTTTGGCAACGAAGTCCTTTACAGTTTCACATAGTATCCTTTGAAGAAAAGAAATTGTACAATTCCATAAACTCAGTAGGCTGATTTTTTCCCCATTTATAAATATTTAAAAAATAAGCAAACTCTCAAAATACTGGAATCATTTGTATACAAACCCATAATTCTATCTACTGCTTGACATGTCCTAGATAAGTTCAAGACATTCTAAGTGAGAAATGGATACATTAATAAACCTTGCTCTACATACTTTAAATAAAAGCAATTTTAAGGTAATAACAAGATTTTGTCAAATATTCAAATTATATCTTGATAAGAGTATTTTCCAATCCCATTTAAAAGAGCATTATCTCCTAAGCATTATATAATTTCATAACAGGACTTGCAGACTTGATCAAACAATAATAAATTTGTCACTTATGTTGTCACTGTCACTATACTATTCATCCTAGTGGTATCTTGATAATACATTGTTCCTGAAGAGAAAAGCGGTTATGTGTTATGCTAGGGATTAAGTATTAGGAAACTGTTATAGATTTTACAAGTCTGAAAGAGACATATCACCCAAACGCAACACCTGAACCATTTTTGAGATTTTGATTTAAACAAATTAAATGTTTTAAAACAAACAAACAAACAAACAAAACCTTTTGAGATAACTGGGTAAAATGGACTGAGTAACACAGAATTATTTTTTTTAAAGATTATTAAATACATATTCTGCAAGTGGAATACAATAATTTCTGGGATTTTCTTAGAGAGATTGTAGCAAAAAGAAAATGGGGCTCTGGCTGGTGTTCGCAATGGTTAGATCATCAGCCCACGTACTGAAGGGTCTTGGTTTCCAGTCAAGGGCATGTACCTGGGTTGCAGGTTCCATCCCTGGCTCTGGTCTGGGTGGGTGCGGGAAGCAACCAATCGATGTGTCTCTCTCACATTGATATTTATCTGTTTCTCTCTCTCCCTCTCTCTCTAAAAAAATCAATGAAAAATGGGGAGTATATGACAAAATGTTGATAAATACTGAAGCAGAGTGACAAGCATAGTGGGAAATCATTACACCAGTCTTTCTACTTTTACGTATGTTTGAAAATGTCCATAAATTAAATAAAAAATATGCTGTATTATGGGTATAATGTTATTCCATGTCGTCTTCTCTTTTCTGTCTTGAATCTCTTTAAAATTTTAATCTGGGGTTGTAAAGACAGGGTAGCCAGGCAAGCCTAGAAGTATAGGTGAGTGATGAGAGGGGACCAGGGTTGGAATAGAATCTACTTAAAGGCAAACGAGCTAGTCAGGTAGAACACTAATGCTAATGCTGAGAGCACAGCCTAGACAAGGAGCTAGGTCAAGATAAAAAAAAAGAATCCAAATGAAATTGGGGAAAACATGAGGTGATGATTTAATGATTTAACACAGCACTCTAGTTTATAAGCTCTATTTACTTTATTGCTCAACTTAGTTCTCCTAACAGTTGCATGAGGGAGGGAGGATAGGCATTCTTTCCATTCTTGAACCTGATAAGCAGACACAGGTCACAAAGCTAGCAAATGGCTGAGTCTTAACTAGGGCCTCAGATTTACTCCTACAGTACTTAGTGCAACACTGGGACTTACTCCAGTGGTTTTCAAGCTGTTTTGCAAAAATATTTCAAAGATTCCACAAATACTTGATTCAAATTTATTTGGAAATAAGGAATATAATTTTTAATGCTCAAATAATCATTAGATATATTAGAGACAAGTATGTTAACTTTTATTTCAAAATTCACTAGTTTCATGTAAATCTTGGACTAAAGCATCTTCTATTTTTATTTAATTGAAGGCAATTTCTTTATACCTAAACAAAATAAAATACAGAAATGACTTAAAACTGCATTAAATATAAAATCCTGTCATTTATAACAATATTAGTTATTTCTCATAAATGACTAATAAATTAATCTTATCCAATTTATTAATGCCAACAAAATGTAATTTTTTTAAATATTGGGATTCTTCATAAGTTTTCATTTGAAAAAAATTCCCTCTGCTAAAAATGTTATACTTCACAGGTATTAAGTTCAAGAAAAATAAGGAATAAAAGGGGTCATTGCTGTAATAACCCTATTTGCATCTGTCCACATTTTATAACATTAATTCCATGTAATTAAAAATATAAGTAGATCTCAAAAGTTCTCATCACAAGAAAAAAATGTAACTATGAACCTAAATATTAAAAAATATAGAGAATGTGTAGGAGTCAGTAATCAAACACATCAAACACATGAAGGCTATAGTAAGACTTTGCTAACCTCCAAACTATGAAATGTGACCAGATACAATAGTTACTTAACTGTATTAAAGAATAATCCTATATAATAAAAGGGTAATATGCAAACTGACCCTAACAGCAGAACGACTGGGAATGACTGGTCACTATGACACACACTGACCACCAGGGGGCAGATGCTCAATGCAGGAGCTGCCCCCTAGTGGTCAGTGCGCTCCCACAGGGGGACCTCTGCTCAGCCACAAGCCAGGCTGACGGCTGCCAGTACAGCGGTGGTGGTGAGAGCCTCTCCCACCTCCTCAGCAGCGCTAAGGATGTCCAACTGCAGTTTAGGCCTGCTCCCTGCTGGCAAGTGGACATCCCCCAAGGGCTCCCGGGCTGAAAGAGGGATGTCTAACTGCCAGCTTAGCCCCAATCCCCCGGGGAGCAGGCCTAACCGAGCAGGTGGTCATCCCCCGAGGGGTCCCAGACTGCGAGAGGGCACAGGCCAGGCTGAGGGACCCCCCCGAGTGCACAAATTTTTGTGCACCGGGCCTCTAGTTCTTTTATAACTTGATATACCTTAAGAAAGGTTCCAACTTTCCATTTTATCTATCTATTTCCTCTAAAATGTCCTATAAGAAGCATTTGATTCATACGGCAAGGGTGGCAAACATTACATGTCTTCCTAGAGGAAATAAATGTAGGAAGTACTTAAGGAAGTAACTTAGGTATATGAATTTGGTCCAAGATGAGAAAGACAACAGGGAGTGCTGAGGTCTGGGACAAATTAGAGATCTGCATATTTCACGATAAAGCAATACAATTCACTAAAAAACACCCAACCAAACAAAAACATAGAAACCACTAGCAGCACTACCCACCAAAGACCTTCTGTAGCCCACCTATTTGGGCAACCAGTGTGCTTCTCTTGAGAGTCATTCAATTCTTTCCTATTGCTCAGTCCTGTTCCCAATTCCTGGGGGCTATAGCATCAAAACCAACTGTTACTACATTTGTAGTTGTGTCACAAGCAAATTTATTTATTCTGGTTTGTCTTTCCTTGATTTTTTGCAAATTAAGTATATACTATACTAAAGTTTGTGTATTTTTCCTCTATTATTCCCCTACTTCTTTTCTTTCCTTCTTCCCCTCTTTTCTCCTCTTTCTGAATAACAGTTATATACCCTGGCTAAGCCAGAGTTCTAAAGCATTTTTTTACTTTTGCTTATCAGTTGACAATTTCATTTGGTTTCATCCTTTCTTCTAGTTGACTTTCCAGTCTTCATAACTTCAGTTTAGGATGGCTGAAAACTAAATTCTAAATTCCAGCCAGGCAATGTGTGGAATGATAAAATCAAGTAGCTTTGGCTCCATGTACAGAATCAGCTTAACTAAAATCTGGTAACTTTAAATTAAAATATAATTATGTACTTTAAACATTCTGAGAAAAGGCATTTAAAAAAATCTCATCAGTTTTCCTTTTCCTGATATAAACATTTCCTAAGTAGTAGTGTTTATGGAAGTAATAAATTATAATAAAATGTGTTTCCTATATTATAATAACCATAAATACTTCTTTAAATAGGAACTTAGCATAATTAAACTCTAAACACTTATTGTACCTTTTTGACAAAGAAATCTTTCAAATTAAGCCTTAAAAATATCCTTTAAAAATTCTCCACCATAAATGTTAAATGATTTTTTAAATGGAAATTTGGTTTATCTAATTCTATAAGCTACTACAAAGATATCTTTTGGAAAACAAGTCACAGAGAAATGTCAGTGGTAAGAACCATCTTTCCTTTCATTTTCACCATATAACTATTTCATGACCTCACTCTGTAACTCACTTAGCAGATGATATGACTACTGCATGTTCATCAGAATTAAGGATTTTTGTAAGATGATCTGCAACTGAATCTTCATAAATTGTCATCTGAAAAAAATAGAAAAAACTATATTGTGTTATCGTTGCCGGCAATTATACAACTCGGTTATCACTGCTTTAAAAATGGGATCATTCATGGCACAGGTGACACAGGGCAATGGCTACAATGAATATATAATAGTCATTCTACAAAATAGATAAATATGTCCTTTCTGTGAAAGGCTATTAGTTACTGGAATTCTTTAATTTATACTCATAGAAAAATCCATAAAAAATCTTTAAAACATTTTTTAAGTGTCAAAAGTGTGAAAATACAAAGAATTCATACAATTGAGTACAAAAATGCCAGATAATCTAATAAGCATGGGCCAAAGACTAAGAATTTTAAGAGGAAGATATCCAAATGGTCCATAAACAGATGAAAAGGTGTTAACCTTATCAGCCATCAGGCAAATGTAAAGTAAATCCACACTGTGATACCACCATATATCTGTCTGAATAGATAAAATGAAAACAACAACCAGAAAATGTCAAGCATTGGCAAGAGCAATAGAACACTCATACACTACTGGTAGGAGAGCAAAATGATACACACACTCTACAGAAATTGTATGAAATTTACAGTTTCATATTAAGAGTCTTCCATCAAGTTTTTGCCTCAAATATATTCCATGTCACATGGCTCTATTGAAGTTGAACATAGGCATAATATGGTAGGACCCAGCAAACTTCAACATACATGCTCCCCAAAAATGCAGATGTGTTTTCAGCAAAAGACATATACTAGGATGCTCATAGCAATATTCACTCACTGGTAGAATGGGTAACAAATTGTAGTATATTCATGCAATGAAAAACTATGGGGCAATGAGGATGAATGATCTATAAACTAAGCCATAATATAGGTGACTCTCACAGACAAAATGTTGAGTGAAAGAATTCAGAAACAAAGGAGCAGATACCAAATGGTTCTATTTTATTTTATTTTATTTTTTAAATATATTTTATTGATTTTTTAAAAAAAATACGGAACGCTTCATGAATTTGCGTGTCATCCTTGTGCAGGGGCCATGCTAATCTTCTCTGTATCATTCCAATTTTAGTATATGTGCTGCCGAAGCGAGCACTATTTTATTGATTTTTTACAGAAAGGGAGAGGGATAGAGTTAGAAACATTGATGAGAGAGAAACATCAGCTGCCTCCTGCACACCCCCTACTGGGGATGTGCCCGCAACCAAGGTACATGCCCTTGACCGGAATCGAACCTGGTACCTTTCAGTCCACAGGCTGATGCTCTATCCACTGAGCCAAACCAGTTAGGGCAATTCTACTTTATAAAGTACAAAAACAGATAAAACTAATCTATGCCAGGATATCCAGGAAGTCAGGATAGTGGTTATTGGGGTGGGAGGTGGGAGTGGTGAATAAAAGGGAGCATGAGGGGCCTCATGTGGTGCTGTTAATGCTGCCTTGTAATCTGGGTGTTGATTACATCGGTTCATTTAGTTTGTGGAAACTGGCCAAGGTCTGCATTTATGATATGTACTTTTTTGTAACATCCTATCTAATAAAGAGGGAATATGCTAATTGATCCTCATGCTGTGGCAAAGATGGTGGCGCCCACAGCCAATAAGGAGGTAATATGCTAATTGACTGCCCCACCCTCAAAGATGGCAGTGCCTACAGCCAATAAGGACGAAATATGCTAATTGAATGCCACACTCTCAAAGATGGCGGCGCCCACACCCAATAAGGAGGGAATATGCTAATTGGCTGCCATGCCCTCAAAGATGGCGACGCCCACAGCCACAAGATGGCGGCGCCCAGTCCCCTCAGCACCCCTGCGCGCCTGCCTCCAGAGTCTCCCAGTCCCCTCATCCCCCAAGCTGCCCAGGGCTGGCCCGAGGCACAGGCAAGCCTTGGATGGCGGCTGCCCAGCCGCCCAGGGCCTCCCAAGGCTCAGGTAACCAGGGCCGGCCAAGGCTTGTGCTGTCGGCAGCGGCAGCAACAGAGGTGTGATGGGGTGTCGCCTTCCCCTGATCACCGGGTCGCCTCTCACCCCTCAGGGCTCCCGGACTGTGAGAGGGGGCAGGTCTGGCTGAGGGACCCCCCCCTCCAGTGCATGAATTTTCATGCACCGGGCCTCTAGTAATTCAATAAAGCTTTTTTTAAATGCTGAATACAATCATACAAGCATGTAAATAAATATTTCTCTCAAACCATGAAATAACCAAATGCCAATGGAGTCCTATGTTCCCTTTTCTATGTGACTCAAACTTTAATAGTCTGTTGAAAGAACATATCTTCCTAATATATGAAAATGTGCACAATATTTACAGTTTCATATCAAGAGTCTTCCATCAAGTTTTTGCCTCAAATATATTCCATGTCACATGGCTCAAAAATTTCCACTGTAAGCCATCTGTTCTCTGCAGACCGGCCTCTCTGCTTTCCTGCCTGACTCAGATGTCCTTTCATTGCTCTCCACCAATCAGCCTGTTCATTCAGGCTCAAATGAAGATTCAATGATCCACATCCCCTATAAAGCTTTCCTGAGTAGCCTCTTCCCAAAGGGACCTCATTCACCATTAACATCCAATTCCACCAGTGGCTAATTAGTATGTTGTCACTCTTTTAAATTTCTTACTTTTTTCAAAGGCAGACTATGTATGGGAAAAATTTACCTGAAAGCAAGTTGGGGAAAAGCTTCACACAATATTATACTGACTCACAAATCCACTTTATTGCTTTCTGGGTCTAAACATTAAAAAAACTGCATGTTTACAGTTAAGATCAGAAAAATGAAAATACATCTATCCAAAAGGAAAGAAAGAAAATATTTTTTCAAAAAGATTAGTTTTATTTCATTTCCCTACAGGATAGATTGTCATAAAGCCTAAGAAGGTAGAAAAAAATATTATAAACTATCATTAATTCCATTTGAATTTACAATAAAGAAATCCAAGTTTTTGTCCATTAAATATAAACAAAGGCAACGAATACAATCTCCTCCAGAGAAAATGAAATAAAACCTCCATGTCTGAGGATAAAATGATTGATATCGCTTGCTAACCTATTATGCAGTCATTCAGCAGTCACAAAGGTCAGGTGATAATAATAGCTAACATTCTTATTGTGTAGCAGGCACTGTGATTAAGCATTTTGTATTTATTTATCCCAGTAGGTGTCCTGTTTCACAGCCAGGGAATGTGAGGCTCAGGTGAATTGAGTGGTTTTCCCAGGATCCACAGCTAATGAAGAGGAAACAAGCTGGGGGCAGGTCTGAGGACAGTGGGGCTTTTCCCACCACACTGTCCCCCTAACCAAGTCTTGGTCTTTGCTTAACTGTATTTGTTAAATACAAATTTTATCATTTTTCACATGTATCATTATTATAGCCTTCTTGCTGGGCTTCTTGTATCTCTCCTGCTCCTTTTCAAACCATTCTCCACTTAACAAGTGTTTAAAAAACAACAACAAAAACAGAAACCTGGCCCTGGCCGGGTAGGTCAGTTGGTTGGAGTGTCATCCCATGTACCAAAAGGTCGAGGGTTCAATTCCCGGTCAGAGCACATATCCAAGTTGTGGGTTTGATCCCCTGTTGGAGCAACCAATTGATGTTTCATTCTCGCATCAATGTTTCTCTCTCTCACTTCATCTCTCTCTAAAATCAATAAAAGCATGAGGATTTAAAAAAAACAGAAACACAAATCTGATCATACCACATCCCTGCTTAAAAATGTCTGAGTGGACCCCTCCTACTTTCCAGATAATATAAAAACCCTTTAGCTAACAAGAAAGACCTCTAGAATTCCCAAGACCCTGAAGGATCGGTCTGACCCTCCTTTCCTCTTCTGTCCTGTCTTTTGATGCTCTTTCCTTGCACCGAATGTTCTACCATGCGGTAACTCCATAGAATTATTTGTACGCCCCAATTTACCGAGGTACTTATTACCATGCTCTTTGTAGCGCTCTTGTTCAACCGGCTTATCCCTACTTTTCTTTTGTGCTGAAAACAAAGTTTAGGAACAACTCCCTCTGTAAAGACTTCACTGAACTTACCAGGCGAAGAACCCTCTCTTCTGTACAACCATTACACCCTGAAAATACCTAAACATTACTGATCATTTCCTTGTCTGTCCCTCCTACTAGGCCAGAGATTTCTAAACTTTCTGAGTTCAAGCCTAGTAAGTCAAGGGATTCTTTTTTTTTTTTTTCAATATTTTTTTATTGATGAAGGGAGAGGGAGAAAGAGATTGAAACATCAATGAAGTCAGAGAATCATTGATTGGCTGACCCTTGCACGCCCCCTACTGGGGATCAAGCCCGAAACCCAGAAATGTGCTCTATGAATCAAACCATGACCTCCTGGTTCACAGGTTGATGCTCAACCTCTGAGCCACACCAGTCGGGCTTTTTAATGTCTTAACAATTTTGTCATAGTGCCCTTAGGCCAAAAGAAGTACCTAACAGTAGTTAAGTCTAAACAACTTAATAAATATTTATGTCCTAAAAACTCAATAACCATTTGAAAAAATAATGGATATACATTTTTTAAAAAACCACAAACATCTTATTTCATTTTTAAATAACTAGTTGTAAGTCTCTTGGCATTGTATACATGTGAAACCTTGGAATGAGATTGGACAATGATACCCGCATTTCCTACTCCACAGCAAGTTTAGTGTGGTGATTGCTTTATTTTATCTCAGCAACTCCTGAAAACCCAAAACTATGCTGTCACTGAAAGGAACGTAGTACACCCTAAATGTTTAAACTGGGCACTACCTCCAGCTCGCAGTTTGCACAGTGTATGACAGATGTTGAGTTTTCTTTGAATTTAAAATATCTCATGGTAGCCCTCTGAGCTCACTGTGGTGCCCCAATGCACCCAACACCTAAGCTGACTGAAGCTAGAGGGTACGTCTTTTATTTCCAGTCAAGAGTACCAACAGGTACTTAATCTTGTTAAATGAATGAAAGAGATAATAAAGTTACAATTTCTTAGCATGCTATTACCAAGCTCCTAGAAAACCAACAGAACTGG